AACCCTAACCACAGAAAGGGGCAAAGTTCTCAGAGAGGGGAAGGGTGTAAGCATGCTGGCTTACGACAATTCCAATGTCCTTATATAGGCGCGCGGGGTAATCAGTACAACTGATTATCTATCTACCTTTTGGTGTAGTGGTCTAGGATGCGCCTCGGACTTTCTTACACACCAGATGTATATGATGCGGGCAGTGCATGATGTGGTTGGACATCACAGGGGTTTCGCTACAACTGTGCTGCTGGAACAGAGATTTTGGTGGCCGGACCTCGAGGGCGATGTCCAGTGATACATCAAGACCTGCAGACTCTGTCAGAAGCAACAATTGGCAATATTGAAGACTCCACCGGTCATCTCGGTGACTCCGAGTATCTTCAAGAAGATTCACACCGACATAATGCACATACCCGAGGTATCGAACCAATGCAGCTACAGATGTGAGATGCGCACTCAGCAGGTTTCCAGAGGCGCGGGGATTGCGCAATCAAATGGCGAAGAATATCGGTCTATTCCTGTTGGAAGATGTAATATACCGCTGGGGATGTCCAACTTGGATAGTAACAGACAATGAGACGCCTTTTCTTGCAGCTATGGAATGGCTAAAAGATCCCCTTACCATTCGCAGTCCAACAGGATAATTGAAAGGGGACACTGGGACCCACGCCAATCACTGTATAAAGCCACGGGTGGAAACTTACACCAGTGGTTTTATGTTCTGCATCAAGTTTTGTGGGCAGACCGAGTAACCACTCGACAAGGGATAGGGTGCTCACCGTACTTCGCAGTCTGTGGTGCACATCCAGTCCTACCACTAGACATTGCAGAAGCAACCTGGATAGCTGTTAGAGTACGAGGGCTGGGTGAAGAACCCGCTCAAGAGGACAACTAAGAGGAGAGTGTCTAGCTCGAGTTTATAAAGGTAAAACTGTTGTATTTGAGGTCCTTCTCGATAGAGAAGAACCCTATCGAGAGACTACTTATATACAAGATGGCCGGGCTGTATGTGTAAGCTATGATGAGTAACCGGATGCCTACCCAAGGTCATGTGAGCAAACTGAGGTGCCGATGCTACTAAGAAGCCTATGTACATGTGGTCTGTCGGTCATGGGTCACGGTACAATAATATCCACAAGCACGTCATCAAAGATTATAAATTTGAACTGGGAGATGTCGTACTTGTGAGGAACACAGTCGATGAGGGGTCTCTAAGTGGGAGGAATAGGCATTGCTGGCAGGGACTGCTAGTAGCAGTCCAGAGGACGAAGGGCGGTGCCTACATATGTGAATTCAATGGTGCGGTCTGGCAGAAGAAGATCGGGAAATTTAGAGTTATACTGTACCAACAACAGCAGAAACTCACCGTTGGGCTGCATATCGAGGAGCTCCTCAATGTGTCATCAGAGACCTTGGATGAGTTGGAAAACGAGCTGGAACCCTACAAAGGCAAGGACTTGCAGTTCAAAGGGGTTTTGCTTCAACCAAGCAAGGATAACTTGGTGTTGCATGGTTCGGAAATTGATGAAGACAATGAGTAAAAACTCAAGCCAAGAAATAAACCAAGAAAGCATGCAGCGCTTCACATAAATATTGGGTATATAACAAGCAAGATAGGACAGGGTTTATGGTGGAAAAGGAGGAGTCTAGTCACTAGGCTCGCGCAGGGGACAGAGCGCGACAAGGTGGTCGGCGGTGGTGCAGTAATAGTAGTGTTTAATCTTCCTGATAAAACAAGGGTCAGCAATAGAGAAGGAGAGACATACTTGTGAGACAGGCAGCGGATTAAGGCTCGGGTTGACAAATGGTTTGGAGCTGCCAGAAAGTTCTTTCTGGGCCGCGGGGAGCCAGCGAATCTCGGCCTGGACTGCCGCCAGTTGTTAACGAAGCTGGTCTTTGGAGACGATGGTGGTGGGCCGAAGTGGTGCAGAACCAGCCACAGCATATTGCACTGGACGACCAGACCGTGCATATGGGGTGCTCGCTGAGAACAGGTAATTAAAAAACCAGGAGGAAGCAGGGAGGAATTACGCACAGGCTGATTGGGGGTTCTCCCCAATGTTCTCCCCCTCTTCCACTTGTCTCCTTTTACAGGGAACCGGTGCCACCCTAGGGTGAAGTCCAGTACGAGGTCTGGTAGAGATTGGCCTGGCAACAAGGGAGAGCTTGACTGAGAAAGGAAGCAGTCAAGGTGATGGTGGGGAATGAGAAGAAGGAAACAACGCACGGGGACCTGGTAGGGAGCCGACAGCAACAGCCTACTCAAACGGGCTCCGAGTTCATGAAGAGGAGACAAGGGAATGGCTGGACGCACTATGAGCAGTGAAAAGGCAAGACAGAAGGGCGGAAGAATGAATTTACCCTGAGAACTTGGCTGGGCACTGGCTGGTTCAACTTTGATAGGACTCACCGGAGGATTCTGATAGGAGGTTGGTAAAAGAACCACGGAGAGCGAGCAAGAAAAATATGCACCTGAACAAAGCGCGGAGACTCATCAACACCAGACTCATCGCTGCTTGAAGGAATAGAAACAGTGTCCTCGTCGGGAGAGAAAGGTGACTGGTGAAATTGACTCAGCAAGAAGAGGGGGGCTAGGATTATAGAAAGCCAACCTTTGAGCCCTTCACACCCGCATTTGAAGCATGCTCAAGCGTGATATGGTGCTGAACCCAAGCGGTCACATCCTCAGCAACTCAGAGGCGGTCGCTATTGGCACACTGACGATTGCGGAACACTTGCTGCTTGCGAATGATTTCACCAGCGAAATCTTGAATGGACACGAGAGCATCACTAAATGGAGTGCCCAGCATACACACTCAGCAAGGTCAGGGACCTGTGCGAACGAAGCGACTTGGGGGCGGAATTTGAGCTGGGAACCAACGGATTAAAGTAAGGAGAGGACAAAATCAAGGTTAACGAACCACGGTATTCGCGGAATCAACAAGAAATGTGTCCTGATCAACAGGGTCCGGATACTTGGTAGCGCAGATAACTTTGAAAAGTTTGCGAACAATGACCTCATTGGGTTTGGAAAGAGAGCCGGGGATGGAGGAGACCATGGCAGGAGAAATGCGAGTAGAAATGGGTTGAGAAAAGGTGATGGGAAAAGGAGTAGAAACAGCGTACCTTGTATACCCAGGCCAACTGGGACAGTTGAAGGTTTTGAAAGAGAGGGACAATGTGAACAACGAAGGACATGTAGACACAATGGAAAAACAGCCAAGCTTCAGGTCCAGAGACGTGGCAGAATGGCCGAGTTTCAGATCCATAGATGGGGCGAAACGGTGACCACCTGTGCAAATGCGAAAAATCAAACATAAAAAGGCCATGTGTTGGGCCATGAACAATGAAGTAGGTCGAAGCACGTACTGGGCACTCTGAAACACCTGGAGGGCCACAGTAGACACAATGGAAAAACCGAGTTTCAGATCCATAGATGGGGCCCAAGAATTATCCCTCCTCTCTGAGTTCAATGTGTGTTACTACATCTGAGGTCATTGATTTGACTGTCCATCTGCTCGATGTTGCAAAGCATATGACCGATTGGAGGTTGCTTGTGATCACTTGCATCATCGCCTGCACTGTCTACCTCACCGGTCCCTCACTTGTGCCTCAATGCAAGCCTAGTCTTTTTGTGTTGTCTAAGACACCCTGTCTTCAGTATATTTGACTCAACAATGTATCTATCAGCTAGAGGCATCCCAGCCTGTTTAGCAATGCCAAATTTCACCAAGATTTCACCCCCCCTTGAACCAGACAGTGTTCACCTCCTCAAAGTCTTCCAGGCTATATAGCAGGTACCTTGGAGAAGCTGCCCCTACAAAAAGTTTGGTGCAGTCAAGTACCATAAGATTACAACGACTTTATCATACTCTCATTTGTTCGAGATTGACTTTGGGTTTGCAGAGCTGTCAAATATTGTCGCCATATTTACCTGGGTGTACGCTTTGTCTCTTCGAAAGGCAACAGTGATCATTGACAGTCCCAGCGACATGTGACTGCTACTGGAGTGCCGCCCCCTACACGCATCCATCACTGACTTGACTATTGTCAGAGGTACTTCTTGTCAATGATGTTGAGATCATGTGACCTCACAGGCAAAGATATATGGCTTAAGTGTTGGAGTCTGTGATTGGACTGTGGCATTCTCGCATTCCTGCTTATGCAATGATCCGGTTTTGATCCTTACTTATGTAGTTGTACTTACTAATGCTGACTGAGCATTACTCATCCTGTTCCCACATTACTCATCCTGTTCCCACACACCTACAATACATATATGAGTAGGCTAGTGTAGTCCTGGAGTCCTCAGTTCTCACTGTTGACTTCAGGTTAGTACTTACTTCCTTTTCCTTGCCAATGCACAAGAGTTCTCACTGTTGACTTCAGACCTCTGTGCTGCCTGTTCTAACAATATAGAGACTGCAGAGCAAAAGATGACTGGTCATGTCACTGGTATGTGATATGTGCATATTTGTTTCCTTTCACTATTTTCACCAATTACATACTTTTCTCTAGACGGTAACCTATGTGACCCCGCAAAAATTCAGCATGAGAGAGGCACCAAATGAATATTTCTTTTCTTTTATAGAATCACAATACACCGCTTTGACCTTGTCTTTTTCAGGAGGTGGGCTTCCTTTTAGAGACTCAGGAAGAATCACTTGGGCCTGTGTTACATTTGGGTCTATTAGCTGTGATTGCATACACTTGTATACTTACTTTCTGGCTATACTGATGGATATTTCTGTTTCAATTTTAATAACACGGTGGGCCTTGTCCTGCTCAATTTCTAATGTGCCCTTCTCTCCAACCACCAGCTCCAGCATCTACTCAAGGACCAATCCCAGACACTCCCTGGCACCATTGTGCTGCTACATGGCAAATTCACCCATTTGACTGAAACCTTCTGGGTGGTAGCTTCTAGCAGCTTCATTGTCCTTTAAAGCACTGTGGTGCAAGTGGGGTTTGATATTTGGTCACCAATGTGATAAAGCATAAAAAATTGGCTGAAGCCAGAGTCGAACCAGCGACCTCAGAGTTACTATCTGACACTCTAACCAACAGAGCTATTCTGCTGATAGTGTGAAGGGAACTCCCAGAAGAACTTTCAACAGAGAGGACTAGAGCCGGAGGTTCCCTCATCTTCCACCACTCCCCCCAGAGGTCTTTAGACCTCTATGCTGCCTGTTCTAACACATGCTTCTTTGCACAACATATGTGGCTGTGTGTTTTCTTCCTCAGTGGCACTGTAGTCGGCAGGGGAGGGGATGGGAGCATCATGTTGCAGTATGGATTATGTTCCTTGCACACTATCGGCAGAATAGCTCAGTTGGTTAGAGTGTCAGATAGTAATTCTGAGGTCACCGGTTGGATTCTGGCTTCAGCCAATCTTTTATGCTTTATCACATTGGTGACCAAATATCAAACCCACTTGCACCACAGTGCTTTCAAGGACAATGAAGCTGCTAGAAGCTACCACCCAGAAGGTTTCAGTCAAATAGGTGAATTTGCCATGTAGCAGCACAATGGTGCCAGGGAGTGTCTGGGATTGGTCAAGTAGCGCTCCGCATCCTGGGCGAATGAGGAGGGTGTTGGAACCCGCCACGAGCGCCCAAAGGGGCTGTGCGGCGGCGGAGTGGGGGCAACCTGGAGGTACGCTGGGATAGGGGACGTGGGCCAGGGGCGGCGGGGGCAGTGCACAGGCGGGGGCGGCGAGGCAAGCAGCGTCATGGGTGGGCAGCGTGGAAGAGGCGGGCGGCGTGGAGGGCAGCGGCGTGGGTGGGGTGGTGGAGGCGCACCACAGTAGTTCCAATATCCCGGGAGACACGCACCGAGGCGGTGGGAATGTCTTGAATGGAGAATATAAAGAAACCATTTCCCCGCATCTCCGCACTTCCTTTGAAAAAGCAGCCCACAGGCTCAACTCGGAGGCAGCGTGGGCGCGAGCTTGGCGGCTGGTGGGGGGGTCCACGCACAGCGCTCTGACCGCCTACAAATTGGCTGCAGATCATTAGGTAAGCAGTAATGCCGCTATCCTCTGTATCAGAGGGAACAGCAGCAAGAGGGTTTCTATGTGCCTCCCAGAAGGGCTGTGATGCTCTGTTGTTTGAACATGGAAGCGGCCAAAGGAGATGGTGGCTGCTGAGAAGGCTTTTTCAGGAGGTGGACTAGGCAAAGGAGGGCGAGTAGAGATGGTGGAGAGGGATTGGGTGTATTTGGGTTGGTTGAAGTGGGAGTTGATGCAGGGGTGCTCAATGAACACCAGACTCATCATCCTCATCTCCCTCGTCATCGTGCACAACCTGTGGCTTAGGCGGAGGGAGATCAATGAAGGACGATGTGGGAGTGCTAGGGCAGCGCCTCATATTCCCAGAGAAGTAGTGCTTGTCAAAAACAGTGTGCTCAGATGTGACCATATTTCTGGTTACTGGAGGAGAAGACAAGTGCTTGTGTTTCTGAGAAGGGAGAAGTGTGAGTCAATGCCTCCATCTCTGTTGTTCTCGCACTGACTTTCCTCAGCGCCTGGCCTGTCCCCGATGCTCAAGGTCCACCAGGCCGCCTATGTACACACGGGAGCAGCAAAATTTGCTGTAGATACAAATGCACCTCCCGGGCAAGCCCGATTGCATGCTCCATATGGTCGACGTCCCCAACGTGCGCAGAAGTGGTGTTCTGCACGATAAGCCTTGATTCTTGATTTTGTTAGCTTTCCCCCTTTTCCACCCTCTGTTGGATGCTCTCATTCTTTCTAGTCCTTGGCTCAGGGAGTGGACCTTAGGGTCTTGTCCTCCCCTTGGGCTTCTTTTCCCCTTCGCCTTGCATTCTGCATCTACCACTGGCGGGGCATGTCAGCCCCATCCTCGAGCCTCGAGCCGTGGCCGATACTTTGTGTCTTTGCGGTGCTTAATAATGATATGGCACCTCTTGGGCTCTTGTCGTCTTTCTTTCTTTCTCTTCATGTTGCTGCCTCAGAGCATATTTCTCTTGCATTGTTCTCGTCCACATTTCACGGATGGAAGGGCAGCAGGACAATGCCTGAGGCCGTGCTGACAAAAAATTCAAGAATGAGGGATGACGATGTGGGACGAGGATGACAAAGAAGCTGATTATATAAGCTGAATCAGGACAATTTTGGTACACAAAGCACAATCAGAAACTAATGTTTCTGTTTGTGAACCGTAGCCCGATCGCAATTCCAACTCCCAACGGAGCATGGCAACGAACTCTCACATCTACAGCACACCATGTCTCAGCAGTTTCGATGGCTTCAAGGAAACTCCCACTGTAAATGATGCCTTCGAGTACTATCTGCCTGCCTCAGCATTAGATCATTACTACGGGCAGGAGGTGAGGGTGGGTGGGCAGCGATATGAGGTATGGTCAATGAGCTCGCTCCAGCACCTGTTTTACCCTGGAGTTTCTTTGTCCAATGAGCCTCTGCAACCTGCAACAGTGATAAGCCATGTACAAACCACAGGTGTATTTTCGCATTTCGCGTCTTTATACTTGTAAAGCACGCTCTCTCTATTCTATAAGAAGCTATCAGGAGCTCCGAACACCTGATAATCCCATATTACAGTTCTAATTAGAAAGGCTGAGGCCCCGCGTGTGGCCATTCTAATTAGAAGCGATTCCAGCAATCCTCCCGTGCTGCTAAATATGCTACTGTTTTCTCACATATGCTGGAACTAATTTGCAGCATATACGTCTCTGGGGGACTTAGAACTATTCTGCTCATGTATTAGATAATCCCGGCAGGCGCCCCAATGCCTGCTGTCCCAAAAAGGAAATAGCCCCAATAAAAATGAAGAAAATGCAATTAAAATAAATAAAGTACACTATCACCATTCCACCCCACCTCGCCATCAACGGCAAGCATGGAGATCTGGTAGACCATGCCGGAGACGGCTTCATCCTTGGCCTTGTCGCCCTCCTTGTCGCTCTCCTCCTCCGCCTCGCTGACTGTTCGCCCGCGCAACCCCTCGTCGACAGTGTCCTCCCACTCATCCTCGCTTGGCTTGGCCTCGTCTACGTCCATATCGCCTGCCTCTCATGCCACTCGCTTGTGCAACTCCTTCAACCGCTGTCGTATCTCCTCCCGCTCCACTGCCACTCCGCACCTCAGCAAACCGGTGAACCCCGGCGTCGCTGCGAGCTTGTGGAAGCGCCGCATATGGCCAGTGTCAAAGCGCCCCCGGCGCGCTCGATAGAGCTGGACCTGCACAGCCATCTGCATGTCCGCCTCAATCTCCTCCTCCGATTTCTCCCCCGCATTCCTCAGGTTGGCCTCCATCTTGCGGAGGAAGGTATTCTCGTCGCGGATCCACGTCACGACATGGGGGATCTCGACGTTGAGCCGCTGAATTTCTTCCCGTGCGTGCTGGATGCAGAAGTAGCAGTCCATTGCCACCCGATACGCAGGAAGAGTCCACAGGCGTGACTGGATCTTTGCGCGCGTGTCTCACAGGATGTCAAAGTCCACGAGGAACACATACTCGACAACCTGCTCCCAGTTAAGTGTTGGCATGGGGGGGTCGAGGGAGTTGGCAGCGATGTTGTAGTGCTCAATAGCACTCCTGACCGCCTTCGAGCGTGCCTGCAAAGCTTTGGCAATGTGCTTGCACATCTTGTAGCCTTTAAACAAGTTAGCAGGTGCTAGGAATATAATATTTCGACTTACCCATCTGTGATTGATTCATTTTCGTGAGTTCAAAGATACGCTCCACAATCAGCAGCTCCAGTGTGTCGAGGGCGAGCTGGTACTTGCGTTGCTTGACTGCAATCATCGTTGCTACCCACTTCGGCGAGGCAGTGGTCCAGCGCTCCACAATCTTGAGCGCGGCCTCGAGCTTGAGGACGCTATCCAAATCCTTCTCCATTTTCTCCCTCACCTGCCGCCTGGCTAACTCTGCCTTTGGGACGCTGGGCTCGTATGAAGCGTCATCTGCCCTCGCACGTCTTGCCTCTGCAGCTATGGTCGCATGCTTGGCCCTGGAAAGAGCGCCACGGTGAGGCTTCAGCAAGATTGCGAAACAGCTTTACTTACTGGCTCGCACTGAGGTTGACTAGTTTCTGCACATACTCCATCTCCAAGGTCTCCACGTTCGTTTTCGGCATGTGCTTCAGGCTGAGGAGGTACGTCTTCTCCTCTTCAAGCTACTGGTGGAACTCCTCGTAGTCTTCAACGCCCTCTGACCGCATCCAAGCCTTGAGTGTGGGCTCCGTCTTGAGGATCGACAGTGCCTGGTTGTACTTGGACACAAGAAACTTTCCTGTGTGCAACGTCAGCTGGAAGAACAACAGATAGGGAAAGCGCAATGTACCAAGATTTGCATACGTCTCGAAGCTGTCGAAGTGCTTCGCATACGTGGCAATCTCCTGCTGACGGTGGAACCTGCTCGCATAGCAGCACAACTTTGCGAGGCTGTTCGACCGCGAGAAATAGCGCTCGCAGCCTTCAAGGTCCTCGAGACCCATCCCCTCGATGTATGTCGCGAGGAACCCGAGCTGGTAGAGGCGGTTGTGGGCGTGGCCATGGAAAGAACCCACCAGACATTTGAGCCCCTTCTCCCGTGCCTCCTCCCTGAACTCGCTGTGGTTGATGGTTGCCTCGAAGTGGCACCCCACGTCGTACCCAGCGCCGATCTTGAGGCCAAACGCGCCAAGCAATTCCTTGACAACCGCCAGCGGATACTTGGCTCTGATTAATGGTTAGTCAAGAGTTTACTGTTTTGTGTGCAGGACTCACAATTCTCCGCTCTTGATCATATCCGCGAGGACAATCACGAACCCATGGCAGCACAGCGCTAGGAACACCCCTGTCTCGTCGAAAATTCCCCACATTTTCGACGTGACATCATTAATCATGTTCTTCCACCTATCTGCGCAGGGATTATCTTCATCCTGGACAAATCATCAGCTATGTCGTCAATATTCACAGAAGAAACAACCTTACAACTGTTACCCGACTGCATCGGCAGCTGCTCGCCCAGCCTGCTCTTTGCCCACTTGTTCACCTTCTCCCGCGAGATGTAGTAGCCATCTCCCACGTCCCTGTTGTCGGGAATGAGATATTC